TAAAAGTCAACTCTAAGTGCTCTAAAACCCAGGCACTTGCTTGAATTTCCTGTGCAATGTGTTGTCTGGGAGGAGCAGAGCAGCAGGTCCAGAGCTGGGGTCATCTGAGCTTATGGGTCCTGAGATCCAGGCAGGGAGCGGGGTATTTAAGGCTGTCAGATTCTCCCAGGGTGTTCTTGTGTAGACTTAGGGAATCAAACCAAATTTGGTTAGACCTGAAGGTGGCTCAATTACTTGACATTTACCCCTGCTGGTGCATGACATCCACTGCCTCTGAGGAAGCAAGGTTGAGCCCAGTGTTGAATGAAGAATTAAGTCTGTAGATGGGTGCTCAGCATCCGCAGGCTCCTGTCTCTTTTTGGGAGGGACCCAGTAAGTGCAGGGGTCTGCAGGTGCCATGCAACACCTTGTGTGTCAGGAGTACGGCAGGGGGGCCTGAAAGGAACCCGGAGCTGAACTCTGATTGCTAACTCCTACAAAGATCACTTCTCTCTTTTCAAAAACCTAGGACAGTGGGGCCATCCTTTGAGAGGTGTGCCACTCTGATCCCCTTCCCCTGCCTGATCTTTCCTCTGCTTTCTGTTCCCTGCCCTATCTTTTCCTGTGTTTCTTCCCACATCTGCCTTGTGTCACTTTTGGCATACATGCCATGGGTTGGCCACCCTGACCTAGGAAGCTTGCCCGGTAACATGTTGTTCTCTTCCAGAGTGAGTTTTGTCTATCTGAACGTCTAGGAAGTGAAGAGTACACTGGCAGGTAGCTTAAACCTTAACTCTGCCCTCCGTGATCAATGAATGCAGCTGTATGCTCTGATATACACAGTTTTGTTCTGCCTGGGCATATCTACGTGAAATGCCAAATGTGCAGTGGACTAATTCTACTGCACATCAGCATGGCAGGCAAAAAATGTGCTAATGCGCAGTAGAATTAGTCTACTGCGCATTAGCATCACCTAAAATGCACACGTCAGTGCTGTTGTACAGTAATGCCGGTTACTATGCACTTAATAGTACCAGTTATTGCAGGTACTAAACTAAATGCACAGTAACCATTGTGCATTAATGCACATATAGATACGCCCTCCTTTGTACTACCTATACCCACCCTGCAGTCGAACACTCAGCCTGCCCAACAGAAGAACATGGCTTTTGCTAAATTGTACAGCCTGTTCGCTCTTACGTGTATAGTGCCATCTACTTGTGTATTTTTTTTTTTTTCCTGCCCATTGTTAATCTATCAACTATCCTTACTTCTCCGTCTAACTGTTGACAGTTGCCACAGCAAGGTGACCCTGGTCCTCATTGCTGTTGCAGCCTAGGCAGCGCAGTACTGAAATGAAACATGGTGGATCTCTCAGAATACGCTGGCATCACTTTCCTTTGTTCCTACAAATTGAGGTTGGCCAGCGGGCACCCCCTCCCCAACATAGAAAGAAAGGGCCACTGCTATCCCGGCTTTGTCAAGCTGCTCCTGATAATTCCTCTGCCCATCAGTATAGTTGCACCCAGCACGGTGTACAGGTAACCCCCGCTTAGCGCTCTTAATTGGTTCCTGAAAAACTGAGCATTAAGCAAAATGAGTGTTAAGCAAAATAAAGTATTTGACGACCCAATATGGCAAGCGCTATAATGAAACTCGCTGAGTGCTAAGTGGAATCGGGTATCAATTTAAAATGAGTCCTTTGTAAGTGACTGAAATGTGGGTTTGGTTATCAGATTGTACCATGTGCGCTTCCTTTAAAGGACTGTTTTGCTAATGGGAAGTTATGGATGGGGTAGTTCTTCTTGTATCCAGAGAAAGGGTCTGGTGTTGGGGCTAGGACCCAGAACTCCTCCTGAGGTCTAATCTTGGACTGGGCACAGACTGCGTGTGTCCTTGAGTAAGCCATTTAATCATCTTTTACCTCTCAGAAGCACTGACGGGACTAGGTAGCAACCTTGTTCCCTGTTCTGGAAAGTGAAGCAAATATTTAAGGGGGTGCAAAGACTCCTAGAGCATTGAAGAGAGCCAGTTACTTTGGGTGCTCTGATATTAAGGTCTATCAGAGTTTCTTGGCTAACGCCAGCTTTCCAGTCCACATCTCTCTCAAGATATAATCTGGAAGGCCAATTTTTCCTCTGGACCAGGTCCAGACATGAAGTGCTTTATTGATACTTATGTAAAGATCTGTTCTAACATCATGGGCAAAGTGAAACCAGCTTTTTTTTTTTCATTTTAAGGAAGCTCTAAATATGCATATATTGTTAAAGCACAGCACTTTACCAGAGCTGTAGAGTTAATTTCAGTGGATTCTTAATTCTGCAATGGAAAAAAACCCCCAAACTTTTATGTTCTATTTCTGTTTAGAGCAGGAGAAACTCACGCTCCAGAAACTTCAGGGTTTTTGTTGTGCAGGCTCCATGCACCAATTTGACTCTGTAGTTCCTTTAATTCTGCAGATGCAGACTCCAGGGCTGGTAGCTTTGCCATGCCCTGACATGGTGCAATGATCAAGAGTGGTCAGTTTTGCAGCTGCTATTTAAAAACCTGTAGGGAAGCAGTGAGTCTGTTTCCATACTGCTGCCTCTGCATCTCCTCTTTTCTCAGCCACCTGCCTAAGCCTGGGGGAACCGAGGCTGGGAGCAGGGTACGGATTTAAAGTCCATTTTATTCCCATCCCAGGCATCCTTACAAACAGCAAGGAAACTCCTGGGATAGGAGAAGGGGTAGGGAGGGTGGTGGTGGTAGTAAAGTTCTTGGTGTTGTAGATGGCTTCAGACTCCTCAAGAACCAATTAGTCAAAGACTGATTTAAGAGAAAGCCAACATGGACATTTTAAGGGCAGCAGTATAGCAAAAATCTCCAGCATGATTCTTCTCCTCTGTACTGTAGTTGGCCTTTTGCAACTGTCTAACCTCCCACCTTCTCTGTTTACTACCCAAAAGTAGGTTGACTAGTCCTGTATCTAGACAATTTCATGGTCTAACTTGAGCAGGTTAGGTGGCATGGTTATTACAATTCAGGATTTTCATCTTTACTTGTAATTAGTCCTTTTCTTCCCCTCATCAGTACTCTGACTTGAGGCAGATAGTGGTAGGGAGAAGAATGGCATATAAAGACTAGGGAGGGAATGGCATATAAAGACTAACACCTTTCTTCTTTTTTCTTTCCACAGAAAGAAATTCAAGCCATGAGCCAGTGCCATCACCCGAATATTGTATCTTACTATACATCGTTTGTGGTGAAAGATGAGCTCTGGCTGGTGATGAAGTTACTTAGTGGAGGTGAGTGGTCCTAAGGTCAGATGCCGTGAAGAGTATGGGAAGCAGCCGGTGTAAACAGCCTTCTTTCTCTGCTGTACTGTACCCTCCTCTCCCGTTATTTCCCCTTGCCCAAATCTGAAGACTCTGAAATAACGGTTCAAAGAGTTCCTTTTGAATTTTCTCAAAGTTAAAGGGATACAATCAACATGAAAATACCAAGAGTTCAAACAGAAGTGCTGTCTGTTGCCAGTAATACCCAAGATGATAGTAACTGAAAGGCTGGAGTTTAAAAATAAATTGTTTTCTATTTATTTGGTAATGCTTCATCTAGAAAGCAGGCTTACTTTCCCCTGCATAGTCACTTTTTCTGTGTTTCTCTCCCCTTTTGCTGTGCAGAAGACTCACTCAAACATTTGAGAAGTGGAAAATGTGCATTAAATCATAAAAACCGGACAGGGAAATTTGGTGGTGGGTATAGTTCCAGTTACCAGGTGAAGCTTTTGGAAATGGGTTCAGTTTAAAGGTGACTCTGCTGCCCAGGTCTTCCTGGATGTTAATGCAAAAAGTGGTATTGTCCCCATCAGTAAGCAAGCCTCAGCCCCTGGAGAAGCTTGACTTTTTTTCCTAGTCAATAGTTTCACCTTCTCCTCTTGTCTCTCAACAAGCCTGCTGCTTGTTGGTGATAAGCTGTTGTTAACTGGCCAATACATTGATTTGACTCTCTTTATCTGTTGGCCTCCCTGCTTAAGAACCCAAATCTCTGTGATCAGTAGAACAGCTCTTGCACAATGCAGGTGTTTGATCCTAGGTGGAAGGAGGCTTGTGGTATGGCCATGCAGCGAGCTTCTGGGCAGACGGATGCTTGATCTGCCTCATCTTCCACCATGCAAAGCTGGGTTCTTCTAGCTGTTTGTCCTCGAGCAATACTGGATGTGCTTCTAATCATCCTCCTATTGGTCTCAGTAAAAGGTAACATTTCCGCACCCCCATTTGCTCTAATATCAAGCATCCGTGTGTCAAGCTACTATACTTTTGGACTAGAATCTCTCTGTTAGAATCCATTGCTATGGCCTAGGCTCCTACCCTGCCCAAATGCCATCTTCTTGGGTTTGGAGGGCAATTCTGACTCCAGATGGCGATCTGATGTGATAGAGCAGTACACTTTTATTAAATCATCATGCTATCAGAGGCCTCTACTTTACTTTTTCAATAGGGCAATAATTAAATCTGTAACGATATCACCAGGAGAACATCCTGCTGCATCACTTGACTATATGGAAAAATCTGGCCAAACTTGCTTTTCCACAGGAGCTTCACAACAGCCACTTGGTGTGTGTCCCTGATAAAAGTTGCTGTAGAAAGTCATCACAGCGCTTTTCAGGAACTGAGTGTTATGCAGGGCTAATGTTGCGAATTTAAATGAGTTTAAAAATCTGCTAATTTTTCCTCCCCCTTATTAAGCGAGTGGCTGAGCATCAGCCATACCGTCTGGGTTTAAATGCCTTATTCTCACCCTCTTCTTTTCAGACTACAGTGTGGATAAGCATTCCCCATTGGCTTACCATTCAGGATTCATACCACATACATAAGAAGCAGGGCCTATGTACCTTGAACACAAACTGACAGTGTAATGTAGAGCACGGACCTTGCTAGACTGAAAGTGTGAGTAGATGCCTCCGGGAATTGGTGAGAAACTAGGGAACTTTTTCCTTCTTCTGTCACTTGCCCACTAAGTGCAGCTAGCTCATTGGTGGCAAGTTGTACAGTTGGTTGTGGTTAAGTGCTTACATTGCACAAACCACATTACACTTGATCCCATTAGATTAGGACTTGTGGTAGATTCAGACTAGGAGGTGGGTTTAGAGTCGAAGAACAGCGGTGGAGAAGCTTGTATGTACATGTACGTGTATTTTACCGTTACCCTTGATTCTGGAGGCAGATTTAAGAATTACTCTTAATGCTTGTAGCTGTTACTAGACAACAAACATTTGAGTGCTGCACCAGCCAGCCAGAACTTTGTCTAGCACACTCATTTCTGCTTTCACACCTCTTTCCCATCTACATTACAGATTGAAGTGAGGAGAGGATCAGTCTTTGTTGCTTGCTCTGATGTGTCCTGGCTTTACCCTGGTAGCATGGAGAACAAAAGACTAATGTTTGTGAATATTCTTTGAGTTGTTACAGCATTATGGAAATCAGTCACCAATGTTGTGCTGTACATCAAATCCCAACATTGTACTACAGAAGTTGAGGCCTGTTTTCATAAAAACTTTTGTACCTCGTCTTCTAGGCTAGGGATAGAAATTACAGATAAACTGGTATAAGTGATTGGAAACTGGTTCAAATCTGTAACACAACAGAAGTTCAGTGCACATCAGCCATTTTAAAAGCGGTTTAAACCAGTTTAAGGTAAACCTGGATGGACATAGCATCAGACTTTAACTGATTCAGGTTAAATCAGTTTATTGAACTTCTGTGCCAGATCCCCTCCAGATTCAAGGTCACTCAGTCCCCCAGCATCCCAGGATACTTGGCACCTCCCCCACAACCCCACCCTCCTCCAGGTGGGCAGGCTAGCCTTGGCCCAAGCTGTACCAGGGAGGCGTGCTCTAGTGCCCCCTAGCTTCTGGCCTGGGCCATGCACTTCAGGCATGTGGCTGCATTTCCAAAATCAAAAGTGAAAGTTTGTTCATTTGCTTATCAGTTCAGTTGACTTGGTTTAGGCTAGCTTGTGAAGATTGAATGGGTTCATCCTGGAGATTTGTTAACTGTCTGTACTTAGCCTTGTTGTGCTATCACATTGCTGAATGAAAAGGATGGTGTATGCGAGGCCAAAATGAGAAGATTTTTTGTCTGAACTCTGATTTAAGTGAGTCTTAAAGTATTTATCACCTTTAATTTGGGTTTGAGCCAAAATCCAGGCAGACTGGAGTGGAAGTGTTGTTATGAAGAATGAGGGCCAGCAAGTGATGAGTCCAGGTGGCTTGTATTTAAGAGGTACAGAGACATTTGTGCTCTCCTGAGTCGACTGTAAATGTTTGGTGTGTCTGGTATTACACAGCAGTAGCAAGGAGGTGGTAGCTTGGAAGGCAAGCTTTTCCCTGGATTTTTTTTTGTTCCTCTTCTCTTTCAGAAATCAGATTGAACTTCTGTTTTTCCACACTTTGCAGAGCCACCACCTGGGGTGGTGGGGGGCTTTCTAACCTTCTGACTGAAGTGCCATTTTCTTTCTCTGCCACCATGCAACCCTTGTACATGGTCTCACTGCATAAAACATGTGGCTTGCTCATTTATTTTTAATTGGGATGAGCAGCCCCTGCCCCTGCCTGCATGCCTTCTCAGACTGCAACCCTCTAGCTCCTTCAGTGCACTCCTGGCTCTAGCAGAGTTCATGTCTTAACCCTGCAACGCAAAGCCAGGGCTAAGTATGCAAAACACTTGCTTGTTGAAAACCTCTCTTTATGGCACAGAGTAGGTTTTACCATCCCAGCCTGAAGCCTGGGAAGCCTCCATGCTTTTTTAAATGGTGCAGGTCTTTCAGAGGTTGAAGACCTGCCAGCTGATCATGCACTCAGTGCCTCTCTGTCTCCTTCGAGGCACATAATTGAATCTGTGTAGGAGATCAGCATTTTGAAACAGGTATTCATATGTGATTTTCTTTTTTCCAGAAATTCCTACCTAATCAACTTCTTGCCTTGTCCTTTTCCTTAATTATCCTCTGAAGTCCTTGGTCAGCAGTTCAGGAAAGGGGAGCAAAATGGAAGGGGTAGAAAGAATCCTTGGGCGCTGTTGCACATGCTTTGGGGGTGGCACTTTAATTAGATTGGTGCCAAGAGCTGCTCTGAAGCGCTGCTGCGTCTTGTGCGTTGCGTGTCTGCACTTTACAAATGGTGGTGCAGGTGCTTGAACTAAAGCTCGTTCAAACTTTCCGTGCCTCCGTGCTTGTGTGTAGGTGCCTTTTTAAGTCTCCAACAAGGGGAGGGATCTTGTTCTCTTTCCTTGTTAGTCGCTGATCTAATCACTCCTAAGGCTTCCCTAATGCCAAGCAGCGAATTAAGGTCACAGCTTGGGCAAAGCTTCTTGTTTAACTTTTTGAATTCTTCTGTTATCAGAAATAGGATCCAAGAGAGCACAAGGTTAGTCGGTCTCCAAGGTAAAGATCTGTTAAGCAATAATAGCTGTGGGCCTACAGATGCCTTATAGCAATTACACTGTAATAAGGTGGAGTTCCCCATAAGGATGGGATGATGTGTCTGATAAGATCTCTGTGGCTGTACGAGTGTGAGGCATGCTTGTATGCTGGTAACTACATTTAAAAAATGTAAATATAAAAGGTTGAGATCAATGGATTAACCAGTTCACTTAGTGTAGGCATTTGGGGGAAAAGCAAGTTAGAAGTCAAAGTAGGATTTATCTGAAAACCCTGATGCTATATACTCCACTACCTGTGACCTTCTCTACTGTACCACTCCCCTCTTCTGCTCGCCTTAATTTTGCTTTGTTTTACACCTTTCCACAGATGTCCCTTCCCCTCTGGGATATGCAACAAGAGAAGGGAGTATCCAGCATGAATTCTGCTATGACCGTTCTGGCTCTGATGTGGCTTAACATATATTGGGAATGCATTTCAAACTCATGAAGCACAGCATTTATTCAGGAGTGTGTGGTTTTTTTGTGTGTTGTTTTTTTTTTTTTTTTCCATGCTGTGTATAATGCATTCCTTATCTGGAAGCTTGCTCGGTGTCTCTGTTTATCCCCTATCCTGCTGCATTAGGGCTTTGGATCTTATAAATCGGAGAAATGCGGAGGCTTCTCATCTAGTCAGAGGCTGACAAAACAGGGATGTATGTCTTGGAGGTGGTTGTGAAACTCTGTTGTTCTCTGTTGCTGAGATGTGAACATTTAAGGATCCTCCAAGTTGGAAACTGTGAGGCCCTGATGCAGCAAAATACTCTGTTGCAGCAGACTCTGAAGATCCTAAGCCAACACATAGAATAGCTTTTATTCAGGCCTTTCTGATC